TTTGTTTTTGGCAATGAAGGTCTTTCCAGCACTTTTATCTCAATCTGCCACAGAATACCAGACCCCCCAAACACAACATAATGTTCGTACGTGCGCATGCTAGGGGGGGTGCGCTCCACTGTGAGGGTTGTGCCGCACACCGCAGCACTGCCCATCTGCCCTTCAACTCTCTGGTGGGTTTGCTCGCAGAGCATGCGGGCGTCTGGGCGGGAACTGGCACATAATGATCTCAGAGGGTTGAAGGGCATTGGTCATGGAAGCGCGCTGCCGCACTTGCCATACACAATACGCCGGAATGTGAAACCACCACTCACGTCTTGCTGTCCCGCTTTTGTGTTGCGTACTTGGGCGCCTTCGTGTGCTAGGGGCTCAGCAGTCTGAGATCCGGCAGCTGCTGCCCGCAAGGTGGGCCTACCTGGTCATCCTTCTCCCCAGATTTCAGCAAACCCCAAAGACAGGCCGCCGTCCAATCCATTGCGCCGGGCCCGGGCATTTGCTACTCGCACGCGGCGTGCGCTCTATCTGCGGTGACGGTCCTTGTATTTGCGCGTGCGTTTCTCCTGCAGTTGTGAGCCGCGAGCCATCCAGAAGCGCTGGCTGACGGGAGCAGGGTGACCTGGGCGGGCGCTGCAATATGTTCGTTCGCACCCTTGTGCTTCGTCCACGGTATCATTCCTGACCAGCTTCTCACGCATTCGGGGACTGCGTTTGTTTTGCACTCTGCACAAGCCACCGCTGTGTCGCACCGTGCACGATACATCATGGAGATCATTGTAGTGCCGCCTTCAGGGCCTGCGCGCAGGCAATGACACAGAACTTGAGGATGCGCAGGTGCAAACCTGCGGAACGGCAATTTTGGGACCCTGACTCGGAGCGCCTTTCGGCCTCGCACATGAGTGCGTGAGTTGAGGGTGATTACCGGCTCACACAATCGGCGCTTACTTCCTGCACTGTTGCGGCATTGCGGATTGGTCACAGCACTCTGCAGAGCTAAGCAGTGCACCTCTTCCCTTGCCCCTCGGCAGCAGTGTACACTAATACATGCTCCCCTGGTTTTGCCCCAAGGCATGAGCGCATTTGGCACCGCCCAAATTCGCCTGCAGGTGCCGACACGCGCCTAGCCGTCGCTTTTCTCCCTCCGCATGCAGGTGTACATCCTGCCTCCTAGTAAGACCCACAGGCTGCAGCATGGCGAGGTGCGATCGCACCTTGCTCAACACATTGTTCATATTATTGCCCAGGCAGATGCCAATGCGTGCTCGCGCGCCTGTACTGCCGTACTTGCATCGTACGTGAGCGCGCCTTGTCACTTCACGTGCAGAGCCCTAGGATATATTCCGTGCAGCTAATCCATGCTTTGGAGGGAGGGTCACCTGGCCACGCACGCACACAACAGGCGCAGTCCTGTGAAAGAATGGGAAGGCTTTTCATGGCTTTTGCACGCTGCGGCTGGCTGTGCGGTGCCAGCAATGGCTCCATTAAGCAAGCGTGAGGCAAATTCAAACAAATGCCTGGGATGGGGTATAAGGGGCGATTGCCCCCTACCCGTTCTGGCTCCCGCGGCAGTGATGTGCGGGAGGCCGCTGTTGGCGGGCACCTTTTTGATGTGTGCCCGCCTGGCTGCCTGACTGGCGTGGTCCGAGTCTTGTTTGCTGTGCGAGGTTTTCTGAGGCCACAATCCATCTCTTCCTTAGCTACCATTGCCGCCTTGTAATCTCGCTAGCTAGCAGGCTTGGTCCTTGTCAGAGAAATGCGCCGTATTTGAAGTGCCCAAGCAACCTGCGCTGCCTGGACTCGCTGTGATTATATCGGGGCCTGCCCATCCAATCTGAATGCTCACGTCATGACTGAGCAGAATTACACAGGGTGTTCTCCCGCATGCTCCTCTAGCACATGGCTTCGTTGAGCGCAGTTGCTATGCTTGCACCCACTATCCTGGCAACATTTATGCTACAAACAGAGCTTTGGGGGTTGGGCCAGCGCAACTGCACGCTGCTGATGCTCACTCCAGTTGACCTGCTGCGGCTGCTAGTCGCACGAAGAACCTCTACCACCTGACAAGGGGAGAGTCAGGACCAGGAAAATAGAAGACTTCTTGATAAGCAATGCCATACAAATCACAAACGGTCTTTGTTATCATTGTCCTATCAACCTCCTAGAACTCACAAGTTGGTGTTGTGCACAGGGCCGGCTGAGGGGCTCCCATTGTCGCATGCAGTCAGTTGGTGTGTTGTGCGGCTTGGATTATGTTATGATACTTGCTTGGTTCGGGGTAGGCATATGAACCGCATGCCATACCGGCTGAGAACTTGGAACTCTTGCGTTGGGTGAGGCGCAAACTGAAACATGCGCAGCGGACCCGGTCAACGGCGCACACATCCGGTCTGCTCTTCAGGCATGATCACTTCATGTCAAACCCTCGCTTTGCAGTTGGCTTCGGACTACCGCCACTGGCAAAATTAAAAGACAGATCTGGTTACATTCCGGGTGATCAAAATCACCCGACCGTCGAGTGTGGCTAAACTCTTAGTTTGCGTTGGCTGCTGTCTCGCGTCCCTAATCAGGTGCAGGAGACCCCTTCGTTTAGGCCTGGCAATCGCGTCCAAAACAAAACGCCTCCACCATGCAGGGCACCCTGAAGGCCCAGGCGCAGGTGATGATGGGGGCTATTATGTGTACGTATTCGCCAATTTATATGCTCGAGGCCAATGGGCGTGGCTGGTACTGACACGGCCCGCGGCTTTCTCCTATCTGACTTCCCCAACGCAGGCCAGCGGCCTTGCGAACGCCAGCGGTCGTAGGATGCTGTTCACCGCTTCCAGGCCATGTGTGGCACAGCACAAGCCTGGCCAACAGCCCACACGCAGCGCATCCGCCGTCGCCCGTCGCGGCGCTGAGGCCCGCCGCTCGCAGCAGCGTGCGCGGCTGAGCGTCCGAGCTAGCGCCCAGGGCAAGCCAGCTGGCCAGGTGGACTTCAAGAAGGTTCTGATCGCCAACCGCGGGGAAATCGCAGTACGCGTGATCCGCGCGTGCAAGGAGATGGGCCTGCAGACCGTTGCTGTCTACTCTACGGCCGACAAGGACTCCCTGCACACCAAGGTGCGTGTCGATGCACGCAGCGCAACATGCAGCCAATGCTGACGTGATGCTGTTACTGTCGCTGCGCGTGCTGCTGCTGGGGTCGCGGCTGCTGCTTGTTGGCTTAGACGCCAGCGGAAGGAGCGGGTAGGGCGACGGGCCTCGGGGATGGGGGCGTGCGCATGCCTGTGCTTTGGGCCGCCGTCTCCAGTCTGCCGATCGGACCAAGAGGCTTAGTTCTGGCGCGTCCAGGGGTCTCGACTGACCTGTTTCCTGTTTATACTCGGCGACGCTGGTGGAGTCCCACGGCTGCGGCCCCTGCTGCTGTAGCTGCATCTGCCTCGATGCCATGAGCAGTCAGCTGCCGCCAAATACAATCAAGATCTCGCCAAGGCGCCTGTGCCCCTTGGCTCGGTGCACCCCGGGGCTACGACCCCCTTCACACCCGACCTTACGGGGGAAACCTGAGCCTGTCTCATCTGTTGTCATCTCACCAAATCTGTCCTCGTCCTCGCAGCTGGCTGACGAGGCGGTGTGCATCGGCGACGCCCCCAGCGCCGCGTCATACCTCAACATCCCCAACCTGCTGGCTGCGGCCACCAGCCGCGGCGCACAGGCTATTCACCCGGTTCGGACCCGCATCCCGCCTGCGTGGCGCCCGGGCCACGCTTGGCGAGCGTGCTGTCGCGGGGCACTCCTCTGTCCCGTGTTTTCGCCCCTGCCCCTATCGACATGACCTCGACACTTGTGGGCGCACTCTGACCCATCCCCGGCTCCTTGCCCCCTCCGCCGCCTTCTTGTCCTTCACAGGGCTACGGCTTCCTGTCTGAGAACGCCAACTTTGTTGAGATCTGCAACGACCACGGGCTGGAGTTCATCGGCCCCAAGCCGGCGCAGATCCGCGTGATGGGGGACAAGGCCACCGCCAGGGACACCATGAAGAAGGTGGGGGTGGGGTAGAGGGGCGTAGCTGCGTGTTTGTGTGCCATCAAACACGTCAGTGAGAGAGGCGGAGAGGGCACGTGTGTGAAAGCGTGTGTGTGTGTGTGTGTGTGTGTGTGTGTGTGTGTGTGTGTGCGCGCACCCGTGAGCACATGCGTGCGCGCATGTACGCATGTGTTGATGTGTGCGCTTGCGTGTGCATGCGACTATGTGAGCACATGTGTGCATGTGTGAGCCTCATTCCTCTGTGGGTTAGCAAACGTGCAACCTGCAGTCCGTGCTGCAACAACAACTCGTGCGTATGCATGCATGCCACATGCGTTGGAGCGGCGTCCTCTTGCAGAGGCTCGGCTGTGGTCTGCACTGCTCACGGCTCACGGCTCACCGCTTCTGTTGCACACGTGCAATTTGTGCATCCTGACACGACTCGCCTCGACGATACCGCACCGCATCGCTGCGCCACTGAGCGCGCTGCAACTCACCCACGCCGCACCCCCCCCCCCCCCCGCCAGGCTGGTGTGCCCACCGTCCCCGGCAGCGCGGGCCTGATTGAGAATGATGCCCAGGCCATGCAGGTGGCCGGGGAGGTGGGCTTCCCCCTCATGATCAAGGCCACTGCGGGTGGCGGCGGCAGGTGCGGCACTGGCATATAAATAGTTTTGGGGGTTGAGGGGCGGGGATGGGGAATCCATGGAGATGTGTGAATGGCACCACGGACAGCCCCACGGGGCGCCGCAGCAGAGCGACATCGTGCGCAGCCATCCAGCAGCGGCCGGCCCAAGTTGTGTGCGCGCGCGGGGAATCCGTGCGCTGTTCCACATCCACACTTTTTACGATGCCGTAGGCCCGCTCGCTTACACCGTGGACCCCCTCCTTAACCCCTCCCCTCCCGCTCTCATCTGGCCCGGCCCCAAGGGGCATGCGCCTGGCCACCAAGGAAGAGGAGTTCCTGCCACTCCTGAAGCAGGCGCAGCAGGAGGCAGAGGCGGCCTTTGGCAACGGCGCCGTCTACATTGAGCGCTATGTGCAGAACCCTCGCCACATTGAGTTCCAGGTGGGTGGTGCGGGGTTCATGGAGGGTGAAGTGAGGCCTGGCAGAGGGGCTGGGGCCAGGCGCTGTCCGGCAGCTGCTGACAGGCCACTTGGAGAGCCGGGTGGTTGCGGTGGGGTTGGATGCCGGGTTGTGAGGATTCCAAGGGAGCAGAGGCGAGGCGTCGGGGCGAGAGGCCCGCTGGGTGTCGGCAGGCGCAGCAACTCGAGGCAGGCTGCCCGGTGGGTGGTTCGCTGTGCGCAGGGCGGGTGAGACTTCAAGGCAGGGAGTGCCAGACATGTAAGCGCACTCGAACGCATATGCGCGCCAACCCTTGATAGCCCTTCGTGTCACGGTGACAGGTGCTGGCCGACAAGTTTGGCAATGTGGTGCACCTGGGCGAGCGCGACTGCTCGGTGCAGCGCCGCAACCAGAAGCTTGTGGAGGAGGCGCCCAGCCCGGCCCTCACACCAGAGGTGAGAGAGGGGAAGCCGAGCCAGGGGCAGTTGCTCGTGCAAGGAATGGGAGAGTGCGGACTCTGGACACCAGAAGCTCCGCGCCCTGCGGGATTCCATTCTGACGCACATACCCGCCATCAGTACTGCTAGCACTCATTGTCTGGATGCAACTCAATGCCCCTCATCCTTGTGTCTTCCTCTCACCCCCTGCTCGCCACCAGGTGCGTCAGCAGATGGGTGAGGCCGCGGTGAACGCTGCGCGCGCCATCGGCTACGTGGGTGTGGGCACCATCGAGTTCCTGTGGGAGAAGAAGGGCTTCTACTTCATGGAGATGAACACGCGCATCCAGGTGGGTGCACCCTCAGGAATGCGGACAGTTGAAGAATGAACGGTGATGGGGGCGGGGGTACAGGAGGACAAAGATGAAGGGACACAGGGAGGTCGCTGCTTTGAGGAGATCGAAGGACCTCAGCCACCCTTTCCCCATAACTTATTGCGACGAAAGCTGGTGCAATCTCGGAGCCCCGTCGGCACTGCCAACACCCAAGGCACCTTCACGCTTGAGGACGAGATTGACAAACTTCCATACACACACACACACATGCACACACACACACATGCACGCGCGCGCCATGTGTGAGCGTAACGTGAATGCGCGCGTGCAAGTCCACACATGCGCACGTGGGCGCATGTATGCATGCCCGTAAGCATCGCACACGCACACTCGCTCCAAACTCTCTTTGACATCAACCCTGGTGAACGGACATGTCTGCATACCTCATTGGCAGGTGGAGCACCCCGTGACGGAGATGATCACAGGCGTGGACCTGATCCAGGAGCAGATCAGGGTGGCCCAGGGCCACCCTCTGCGTTTCAAGCAGGAGGACATCACCTTCAAGGTGGGAGCCCGGGGCTTTGTGGCCAGGGAAGGGGCTTGCTTGAGCCCGCCACGCTGGGCATCAAGGGAGGTGGCTAGCAGAGCAGGGCTCGCTGTTTCGCAGGAGGGGGGGTTTCGGACTGGTGATGGGCAGTTGCGCTGTAGAAGCAGATTCGTCATTTCAGCCCTGCCGTGAGACATGCTGCACGCCCAGCCTCGCCCTGAGCTGACTTTCTTTGACCCCAGCAACTCACAAACGACATACTCCCCGCAGGGCCACGCCATTGAATGCCGCATCAACGCAGAGGACCCCTTCCAGAACTTCCGCCCTGGTCCCGGCCGCGTCTCCACCTACCTCGCACCCGGCGGTGCGCTGCACAAGGATTGCTCTGGGGCCTTTGTTTGCATCCACCACAGTTCACAGGATGTGCATGCGAGTTTGAGCTGAAAGGGCCCGCAGCCTCCCGTGCACAACATGCAAGTGGCGCTCAGCACAAGCGCAGGGCTGCACCAGCTGCGACCCCTCGCATGCTGCTGATCGACCGTCCTTTACCAATGCCCGCCTCTCATTTCTTGGACCACTGTGGCCACCCAATGGTGCCTGAGTGGCCACCTACACCCCTTGAGCCCATGCTTCATCTGATCAACACCAACATCATCACCTTTCCTTTGCAAATGTGCATTCTGCAGTGCGCACACTCACGCGCGCGCACACACATACACACACACACACACACACACACGCGCGCGCGCGCAGGCGGACACACACACACACACACACACACACACATACCCTACACACCATTGCATGATTGCAACACTCCATCATGCCCGCCCGCCCTCTTACTCGCATACGCGCAGGCCCCAACGTGCGCATGGACAGCCACCTGTACCCGGACTACCTTGTGCCCCCGAACTACGACTCGCTGCTGGGCAAGCTCATCGTCTGGGCGGAGGACAGGGACCAGGTGGGCCGCGGATACATATGTTCACTGCAGGGGGTGTCAGCGCGGGGGTATCAGCGTTGTTGGTGTGAAGGCAATCCAACTTGGGGGGCAGAGATCAGCACTCGCAGCGACCACTGATGCATCACTTGCAACCCACCCCATCGCTCCCTCCCAACTCCACACATGGTTCCATGCGGTAACCCCGACCACCCCTGCCCCAAACGCCCAGGCCATCACGCGCATGCTGCGTGCGCTGGACGAGACGGTGATTGTGGGTGTCCCCACCACGGGCCCCTTCCACAAGCTGATCCTGGACCACCCGGCCTTCAGGGCTGGCGACGTCGACACGGGCTTCATCCCCAAGTACCAGGCCGAGCTCACCACGCCGCCACCCACTAGCAGGGTAGGTCGCGTGCAAGGACGTGTGCGTGCATGTGGGAGGGCAACGCGCATGCAAACGCATGCGCGTCTGCACGTGGGTTTGTGTGTAGATGGGTGCACACGCGCGTGTGCGCTCTCACTCCTGTGAAACGGGAATCTTGTGCGTGGGGGGAGGGGGGGGCGGGTCAAGACGTGGCACCTCTCGGTGCACGTCGGAGATGCGTTGTGTTGCATGTGGCATTGCATGTAGATCATGAGCCTGCAAGGCGCACACATCAGCACAAGGTGCTGCATCCACCCACCACACCTGGGCTCGCTCAACACCCGCACGTCCGGGTTCACCCCTCCCACGATTTACTGACCCATGTGAAATTCCATTGACTGATGCAACAGATCTGCAAAGCAGCCCGTCCTGCACAACCTCCCTGCATAGCCACCCACTCATGCACTCAACCGCCCTGCACACCCCACACCAACAACCCTGCAGGTCAAGTCCTTCTTGTCCGAGAAGGTCAAGGCCGCCAAGTCCAAGACCAAGATGCTGGTCTAGCCCGTCAACAGCAGGGCCCTTCGATGCGGCCTGATGCCGCCAGCGTAGAGCAAGGCTGTTTGCCCCAGGATCACAGACGCGTGTATTGCGCTTGGTGACAAGGGGCTGCGCCATGCAGGGCTGCGCCGCACAGGGCTGTGTGGGGCGCCTTCGCATCCTGCTGAGGCGGATGACACGGCTTGAGCTGAGGAGTTGCGCGGTCCCATGATGCGGCTGCGCTGGACTGTGGGGTGCATACTCCCAGCTTGCTGCACAATGGAGGACGGCTACTTGCTCGCAAGATCGCGCCGGTTGGCGCTTTTTGCGTACCGGGAGCCCTTGTTTAGCCGCCTGCCCATACTCTCCCGGCGTCACTGCGGGGCTTCAGCACCCCTTCCCCTGGAGGCGACTGAAATGAGGGACACAGTGGGCCGCGGGCGCCAGCCAACAGTCTGATTGTGGCATCACAAGTGCGTGTAATTGCTAACCTTCAACTCTATGGAATAATCTGGTCCCAAAGCAACATGCCGTGTGTGCGCTTGTGGGCGCAGACAGGGCGACGAATTGGAAGATTCGCGTCTACTTGTCGCGCCATATCATGTCCAGTGCCAAAACACGACAATATGCTCATTCTGCTGCCTGTTGCCACGCCACAATCTCGCGGCCAAAATCAGCACTCCAACATCAGTCCGCAGCAAGTACAACCCTCAACCAGCAGAGGCCCTAGCCTGCAGCCGCTGTGTTCTGGGCTTGCAAGGCTGTTGGAGTCGCTGCAGCACGCTATTGCCGCGCAGGTCCCCCGCCCACGCCATCACGCACGTAATTGCGTCTTCCAGGCCGCTCCATATGCCAGGGCGGACTGTGCGCTCCTCTAGGCTGGGGCGCCAGAAGCACCGTGTGACCTCCGCGGGGATATCTCTTGAGGGCATGCGCATTCCTTGAGCCAAGCAGAGCCGCATTGTGATGCGCTAGCGCTCTTGGGTGTGGCTTTGAACCCCGGGATATTTTGCTGCAGTTCTGCTAGGGTGCGGGCATCTTGTTCGCCTTAGTCAAACAACGCTGCCATGGTCAGCACCCCAGCTTTCAAGTCTTTGTGCAGGTCGGTGTACGCGTCTTGCCCAAACTGTTCACTTGCCAGGGCCGCCGCCGCGGGCGCTTGGGCCCTGTGGGCGTCGCGCTGTTCTTGCCACCACTAAAACATGCGGCTGAGTTCCCGCCTGTCTTCGTCCGGGTTGTCCCATGCCATTGTCAAGTCGGCATCCGTTGTGCGCTCAATTTGACGGAGACGCAGTGAGAAGCGGTGCAGGTACGAAATCGAGTGCTCTCTTTTCTTGGCTACTGTAGATCCAACTGGTAAGTTCGCAGGGCTCGAGCCCAGGTCCTAAGGCGTCCAGGGGCTTCAACCAACCAGCAGAAACAGCTGTATAGACAGTGGCGGCTCGCATGGGTGAGCAGTCAAGCCCCCCTCTCTCCTTGAGCGAGTGCAAACGCATTTGCGGTGCAGTCAGGCAGGCCGTGGATTTGCTTCACAAGAGCTAGCAGGACAGCATTTAGTTTTTGTAATGTTTGGGCCATATGCGCAAAGTGCCATCCTATATTGCAGCATGGGTGTGAGGGATGTGCGGAGGACTTGCTCTTTCTGCCAGCTGCTCAGATGCGTGCGCGTCACTGAGCGGGTTTTGCTGCCCAGTGTTTTTTGAGCCACAGCCGCTTGAAAACCCCAATGAAGGTCACCAGTCATCAGGATTCCAAGGAAAGTGAAAGGGCCGGCAGCTGTGTAACTTTCACATGCTGCTCAGCTGTGAACACCCCCGCGAGGCGCCGGTGCAGCACCGCGCTGTCACATGGTTTGTCACCAAGCGTGTTGTACAAGGCAGTTCACTGTGCTTTTTGCCATATTCACTCGCATGTCTGCCCATGTGGCAAATCTGGATATCATCTGTGCTTGTTGTTGCGCGTCTTTACTGGTGCGTGTCAGTCAGACTATTCATGTTATCAGCATACGTCCAGGACGGGAGGGCTTGTTTGAGGGCTTCCTCGACTGGCATACAGCGGGGTTGATGTGTCTGCCAGTGTGATGGATGGAGCCAGCGCAGCAGGGGTTCCAGGTACAACAGACAGCTGAAAGGGGACCGGCTGTCTCCTTGGATCGTTCCCCTATCAACTGGAATTGGGTATGTGTTGCCAAATGGCGTCTGCACGTTTGCTGTGACCCCCGCGTACAGGTCCCTCATCACCTCAGTTGCATCTATGCTGCAACCCCAACTGCAACCCCAAGTCATACATCACTTTGAGCTGAGCACTGAACCCCATCAAGACCAGGGGCCTTGCAGTTGATGAGCGTTTTGATGCAGTCCCTGAAGACTTTTGCATCCTCAATTGACTCAACAAGCCGGCTCGTGGGGCTGGAACCACACCTGGGAACCCATCTGCCTGTCCTTATCCGGGGGTAATCGCGAGGAGGTATGCGCCTGTTTTGGGTGCAGGTGGCGCCGCTTTTCGTGTGATGAAGGCTGCCGCCACTTCGATGATCCTCTGGAGCTGTGTCACCACTTGGAGGAGTTGAAGCTGCATTCAGCAGCGGGCACGCCCCTCTCAACAAGTCCAGCTCCACTCCATTGTCTTGGATGTCGGAGGGACAAATTACAAGGACACCGCCACACTGCTGAAAGACCTGCTGGGACTTCCACACAAAAAGCTTCCTGGCAACCACACTGCAACCTCTGCACACTCATGCGGTAAACACGCTGCATCAAACCATCCAGGCTTGCAGAGCCATTGAGCATAGCCCAGGAGGACTCGGGAAGAAGCAAGCGCAGACTCGCTCCGTCGGGGGATCACCAACCTCCCCCGTTACCTTGGTGGGGAGCGGCGCGGCGGCTTCGGTCCACGCAAGCCAGTCCCCCGTGCCCTGTCTGATCTGGTCATCATGCATCTAATCAGATAGACTTGTTTACTGCTAGCAAGAAAGCGTTGCGTTCCAACCAACGAACAGGTCATAGCTTTGTCTACCACCTGCCCTTCATGGAGGGACGATAATGCCGGAATTGGATGCTGTGCAGTATATTAGTACCGCCCGCCTAGCCTGTGTACATGGCAGCAGTAGTAGCAGCAGCAGCAGCAGCAGCAGCAGCAGCAGCAGCAGCAGCAGCAGCAGCAGCAGCTGGCATAAGTGTGAGGGAACTGCTGCTGACCCCTGCACCACGACGCTACTGCCAGCATCCCCGCGTGGTTCCCTGCCTGCATTCACTTGCAGAGATGCCGTCCTGACTGAGCTCGTTACTGCGTAAAGACGCGCTCTGTGTTTGTGTTCAGATTGATGAAAACATATAAAATGCCATCAGTTGAAAAAGAACTCTCTGCAGAAAGAAATGTGGCAAACCCTGACCGCGGCGTTTGCACTTGAGACTTGAAAAAGGTTGAGCAGGAATGTCAGCCGCTCACCCTGCGGATCTGAAACTGCCAAACGAGGGATGCACGGTTTTGAAGCCGCTAGTGTACCGAATTGCCATGTGTTGGTGTCCGCGTCCGTGGCGAAGGTGACCTGCAAAATGGGCGGCCACGGCGGCAGCAGCCAGCAGTGTGACTCACTGGGGCCGTCTAGGCGCCGGGTTGCAGCCAAGAGGATGGGTCTAGGCAAGCCTGCAGGGCAGCACGCAACGGGCCACAAGCTGGCTCGTGTTGTCAAACAGATGTGATGCTCACGCCAGCGGCGCTGCTGCATTGGCAGCGGCCATGGAATGTAAGTGCTCCCTCCCACAACCAACCAAGTGCCGGCACCTGTTCCCACTAAAGCTGCGCACAGGCACATCTCGGTGGGTGTAGCTGTGAAATCCAATCCAGGAGGGCGGCACATTGCATGCTACAATATCCAATGCGGGCATGCCCCCATCCACCCAGCCCGCCATCACCTGGATCGCTTGGGAATCGGCTCGCTGCTGGCGTGCCGCCGCGGTGACCGCGATTCGCGCTCACTGCTGCCGCCGCTGCTTCCCCTGGCAGCGCTGCTGCTGCCGCTGCCCCGGCGGCTGACCCGCCGGCTGCCGCCACCTCGGTGGTCGCTGCCGCCGCTGTGTCGCCGCCCCTCGCCGGCGTCTGACTCGGGCACGACCTTGGCCTTGTCACCGCTGCAGCCATCGTCGAGCCAGGGGTGGCGCAGCATCTCCGCCGCAGTGGCCCGCTCCTCCGGGACGAGCCGCAACATGGGCTGCAGGAAATCAGCGATACCTGCCGCCTGTGGAAGGGGGATTTGTAGGGGTCAGATCATCACAAGGACGGCCAGTGTAGAAGACAAGGGCAGCCAGGCGACGCACGCTGCATGCAGGCTGCGCAGATCAGGAGCTAAGGGGCTGCCGTAGCGCTCTTCAAAGGAGCGTCTTGAATGCTGAGCCGCGTGCAAGTATCACACATCCATACCACACCTCCATGCAAGTAAACATGCTAGCGCGGGGGCACACGCGCACACGCACGCACGCTCTCTCTGTCTCTCTGTCTCTCTCTCGCACGCGCGCACGCGCACACACATACACACAAACGCACGCGCACACAAGCACCACAGCACGTGTGTGACCCACACTCAACTCCACATGCCAGACCCTGGCCGCATCCGCACCCACACACACGACCATGTGCCCCACCTCTCCGGGCGACAGGCGGTACTTTTCCTCCAGCACATCCTGCAGGGACCACGGCTTTAGGCGGCGGATGTGACGCAACTCACCCTTGAAGGCGCCGAGGAGAAGCAGAGAGAGCAGAGAAAGTGTGATGGGTTGAGAGGAGATGTGGGGGTGCGAAAAGCATGACTGGAGCAGCCCTAAGATGGACCCTGTAATGACGATGGGTGCATCGCTGCCTTGATGGTTCCACCGCAGTGGTCAGTCACGATTTGCACTTCAGCAAGCAAGATCAACACACTCAGGGGCCCGGCTTGATGCGCGGGCTATCAACACGTGCTGATGCATGACCCTGTGCCTTGCACAGCCGCAGTGGATGGGACACGCAACGTATCCCGGTGTGCAAATCCCAGAGATCCCCCACCATGCCTTGAAGCCGCCGGCCCCACCTGTCTGTTGAAGTAGTCGCGCGCCAGGCGGCCGGTGGTCCACACGCGACGTGGCATGCGTCCCAGCAGCTCAATCATCAGGGCCAGGTGGTCTTCATCCCTGGGGCCCAGACGCAGGAGAGCGGAGGTTGTCAGGGGAGATGTGTGTGCCTCGGGGGCACAAGACATGCGCAATCAGCACGGCGCTGGCGGCTATCAGCGAAGCCCACCGTCAATGCCATCAGCGAAGCACATTGCCACTGCGCACACAGGCATCAATCCTGGCACCCATACTTTTGTCTGGGGAGCTGTTTGCATGAGTGCCGCTCTGATGCGCATAAACACGTGCAAAACACATTTGCATGCGCACCTGTCCCAGCTTGGGCCGCTTTTGGGCTCAAACAGGTAGTCCCCTGTAGCCAGCTCAAACACCACACATGCCACGCTCCACACATCAGCCGGGGCGCCCCACCTGGAGATAACGGAACACCAGGTGCGGAAGGCTTCGCCGGTTTGAAAGCAGTGTGCGTTACAAACACCTGACAGCTAGACGAATACAGGTGTGTCAGCCCAAGCAGAGGCGGCCGCCCTCGGCGGCCTGTTGCAGCCCGCCCCCCTCTGTTTGCGACGCACGCCACGCCCTCGACTTGACGCACGACAGCGCACCCAGCACCCTGCACCACCGCAATCACCTTGCTCCCAGGATAACTTCTGGGCACCGATACTGCCGCGTCTGGACATCATCTGTGAACCGCTTAGTCAGCCAGCACGCATTGCCAAAGTCCACCACCTTGGCGGTGGCGGACGCCAGGTCAGCGGCGCTGTGCAGCACGCGGCTCTCGTACACCAGGCGCCGCCGCGGCTGCTGGCCCGGGCCCTGCTGTTGCTGGTCAGCCACCTGCCCTGCTTGCTGGCTTCCTGGCCCCCGCTGCTCTGATGTTGGCTGCTGCTCTGCTGCATGGCCGTTGCCTGCGCCACAGCCCCCATTTTGCTGCAGAGGGGCCGCGACCTCCCCAGCGGGTGCCTGTTCGACATCAAGCTCCTCCTTGGCACCATGCAGCTCCTCGCCGCCAGTCTGCTGCAACTGTGACCCGCTGTCGCCGCTGACGGCTGCCTTGGCTTTCCGCTTTGCCTTCTTCTTTTGACTCCTGCTCAGCTGCCCGTCGCCGCTGCCCCCGCCTCCGCTGGCGCCGCTGCCGCTGCCGCCGCCGCCCGCCTTCTGCTGCTGCTGCTGCTGCGCCGTGACCGCCGACGCGCCCCAGCTTCCGGCACCGCCGGCGGGCGCCCGCGGGGGTGGTGGCGGCAGCTCCAGCTCCCAGCGCCGGGCCGCCAGGGTGTCGACCAGCATCACGTTCTCCGGCTTCAGGTCTGTGTGCAGGATCGAGCACCTGGTGTGCATATAATCGACCGCCACCAGCATCTGGCGTGCCAGGTTCTTGACCACCGCCAAGGGCAGCCCCTTGTAGTCATAGGCTTTGATGAGCGCGAGCAGGTTGTCGCCCAGCACCTCGCACACGATGCAAACGTGGAGGCCGTGCGGCCCGGCATGCTCAAAGTGGTCAAGCAGGCGCACACAGTGGTGGGCACCGGAGGGGTCGGCGGCCTTGAGCTGGGCCAGGAGGGTCACCTCGTCGCGCGCCGCGTCGGTGTAGTGCGGGGCGCTTTTCTGGACCTGGCGGCGCACGGCCAGGCGGGGGCAGGCGGGCAGACGGCTTTCGTGATTTGGGCTGGCGTGGGGTGCGGGGCAGATGGCGAGGGGCGGCCTGAAGGCGAGGAGATCCACCAGGACGTCTGGTGCGCACGTTTCATCACGTGCACAGCCCTGTTTCTCTTCCCGCAGGCCCTATGCACCCTGGTTTGCGCTGCGACACGACCGTCCTCACACACAACAGCCTGTAAAGTGCCACGCCGTCGCTCTCGGCCGCCCAACATGGGATGCAAGCAGCCCTCGTCACAGTGCATGACGCCCCAGCACACCAGTCCCCAGATATAAGTGCACAACTGTATGCACCTTCAGCGCGGCGAACCCATCGTTGTGGGTGTCCAGGACCAGCCAGACCGTGCTGAAGTGGCCCCATCCCAGCTTGCGCAGGACGATGTAACGGCCGCCCTTGAACTTCTCACCAATCTGCACAGGGTGGTACCCACCTGGGAAAGAAAGGGGAGGTTGAGGGCAAGGCAAGATGGTAAGGGAAGGGGAGGACACCGCTTCACCAGCAGGCCGGCCAGTCAGAGGGGCAAAGACGAAGCAAGAAAACCGGCCAGCGCTGCCTGCAGACTTTGAGTTGAAAGGACGAGACGTTGTGCCGCATGCTGGCCTCTCTAGCAGTCACAAACCTTTGCAGTAGTCCTCTGCATCCTCCACGTCAGAGCCGCTGCCGCCGAAGTCGCCACGCTCCGAGCCGCTGGAGCTGCTGCTGTGGGAGTCGGACGAGCAGCCGCGCTGCTGCTGGAGCCCTTTGTTGCCGCCCCGCAGTGGACCTGGATACATGCAACAGGACGGGTACAAGAGCTTGGCATTGGACGTCAGGGATGGGCCAGAGGGGGGGCGGGTGGCGCTTTGGCCATGCAGCAGCAGCAGTCGGCGACTTGGCCGTGGGCAACTGCTGCATCCGGCTTGTTCACCTGCTCCGGGTTTCCGCTGAGCTTTCTGCTTGTTTGCAAACCTGTTGGTCCTTCTAGGGCCTGCGGCGAGAGGGACGAAGCGCGGGTGATGCGCGCCGAGATCCCTACAAGCCTCAGGCTACAGGTGCAACACCACGCATAACCTTGTACCTGCGCCCTGCCCGGGCTTCATGTGCAGCCGCGCTCTTGTAAGCACTGTTACGGCGCGTACTGTAAGTGCTTGACGGCGCGCGGGACTTGTGTCAGCCGGAAGAAGGTATGTTTAAAATTGTGATGGTGTACATATGTGTGGAGGCACGTACATCATCGCTGCGGAAGGCACACACACTGCTGTGTACAAAAATGCGTCCAGTGGAACATCTGTAGTGAGCCCTCACGAGGCCCCGCTGTCCCTGCATGGGGTACTGCATGCTGACCACTGTGATGCTGACCGAGCCGACGGTGCAGGATCAGAAAGGATGAAGTTCAGGGCAAACGCATGCAGAGCCTGCGTGATATAGATAATACTCCATCGTAGCATGCATACGTGCACATCCGTTTGGCTGGCAAGCCAGCCGCCATCCCCCCCCCCTCCCCAGCTGGGGGAGCCCATTACTCGGCAACTCATTGACACATCGTTGGCAGAGTGGACTCTGCATGGCTGTGAATCAGGCCTTGACTGACTTCACACCCCTTCCTGCATATGCATGCATAGCCAAAACCCATGGGCTTCCTGACCAGCTCCATTAGCCATACAGCTACGACGAGAGGTCGTGGCAGGCTGCCACATGCATGTCCTGCATGCACGCGCGAGAGGGAGAGGGAGGGGGAGGGAGACGCCAGAACCGTTCGAATCCGAAGGGGACGGGACCTGTGCAGGCCTGCTTACAAGGTGTTAGGATTACCTTTGCAGGTTGCCGACTGTGCTGCAGCTCTATCCCCCTGCAGGGTGCATGGCTTGGGCGCCATCGGTCGCTATCGTGCACATGGCGATCGAGATTTCATCATAACGCCTGGTGATATCGTGATGGCAGAGCTCGGGCACAGAACACACACATTTTGTTCATTTCAAGCTTGAACACATCATACACATAATTCGGCGGGTCCAGAGACGCAAAAAAATCCTCTCATCTTGCGCGCAGCACAGGTGCAATTTCATGCACCGCAAGGGGGAAGGGGGGCGGCACAAGCGAGACGCACACCAGTCTTACAGTACCTGCAAAGCTCTCATGACGGTACGCAGCAGGGCTGTGTGGTTGCTTAGCAGGTGAAAGCGCACAACGAATGCATGCTCGGAGTTCCTCCAAGCCGAGCAGCAGCCCCAGCCATCTGGCTCCCTGCTGTTCACGCTTGGCCACTGCGTTGCCTGTATGTACAAAGGGCTGATGCTTGGACTGGCCCGCCTTCCATTTGTTTTCAAAAACTTGATGCTCTCATTGTAGACTAGAAGCTATTTATTCTTCTTGGCAGTCAAGTACTGATAAAGAGTGAAGCCGGCGATGCCCACCGACCCGGCCAGGTTGCTGGCCGCGGGCGCGCGCCCGCGCTGCCTGCCGCGAGGCCGGCCAGGATGGCCGTGCCATAGGTCGGGCGGTAGACGGCCTCGGTCACGGCCAGGCCCAGGTTCAGCCTGGTAGAATGAAGAATAATTGGTTGGGTGATGAGGCGGTAGAGATGGGGGTTGAGATTTGATGTGTGGATGAAGGAGGCGGTTGCGCACAGCGGCTTTGTCGGGCCGCGGAGCGAGGGCGTCCCACAGGCAGGGCGGCAGCCAGCAAGCCATGGTCCCCGCAAGGCGCACACGCAGAGGGTCACAAGCGGCAAGGTAGGCGAGTCAAGAGGGGGGAAACCCAGCCCACGGCGCGGAGCTCGCACCGCTTGAAGGTTGCGGCCCCCAGCCGGCCCCTGTCCGCAGCGTCTCTGAGCATGAGGCTCGCGCCGCCGGCCAGCAGGAAGCCGGGCGCCCAGGTGTGCTTGAGCAGCTGGGCCAGCGGGGTGACGGGGGCGATGAACAGCTGCTCCGGCGCCTAGCAGGCTGCAAAGGTGGTGGCACACTGCAGGGTGGGGCGGTCAGATGGGGATTGGAGGTGGGTCGGGGGGCATCTGGTTGGAAACTCGCGACGGAACGCCGCTCCCGACACAGACGCCCGCCTGCGTTCCTAAGCAGAGGGCTGAAGCGTCGTTGGTGCAGTGAGCTTGGGCCGGCGGCGCATCAAGGGCGTGCTGTCATCGCTGCAGAGGGCGCGTACGAATGCGGACGCGCACCAGCAGCGCAACGATGAGGTACGTCAACCCCGCAGCAGTCTTGGGCGGCGCCAATAAGCCGTCCGCCAACGCTCCGGCCGTGGCGCCCGACTGCTTCAGCCCCAGCCCCGCGATCACCAGGGAGCCCGGGGGGCCGTGGGGTACAACAGGATCAGGGGGACGCTCCACACGTCGCTCGCCTGCTTGGGACGGGCGGCTCGTGCGCAGGGCGACGAGGCGGCGCGCGCTGTTGTTTTTGAGGCGGGTTGCTTGCAGGGCCTCTGAGCTTGCGATGCGATCGCCGAGCGCCTGGCGCGCGCCGCCGCAACCGCTAATGTGTGCCGCTGTAATGGCGCGGCCAGTCGCAGTCAGCCGGCTGGTGGGCTTGCCTGCCACTTAACCCACTCTCACCCGAGTCCCTCACCAGGACGGATGCGAGCAGGTATGTCACAATCTTGGCCAATACAGCGGCCCGCAGCTGCTGGTAGGTGGCGGAACCCAGGCGCCCATTGGCGGCTGCGTCCTGGGCGCGGCACAAATTGCGGAAAGTAATCACCTGGGTCCGCGGGCGCTTCGGAGCTGCCATGTGCGCCTGCCGGGTGCACCAAGGCGCACACAAGCGCCAGGGAACGTCGCTGAATGGAGCAATTAAATGCACCTGTGCTCACCGCCAGAGACCACTCGTCGGCAGCGGATATGGCCATGGTGCCGCCGGCGATTCGCGCCAAGACGACCTCCAGCGGCATCGCGGCCGCAGCTGCGCCGGCGCAGCCGACCACCTGCAGCAGCAGCTCGGCCGCCACCAGTGCTGTCGCGCCGAATGCGATCGACACGCCAGCGAGCGCTTTGAACCCAACGGTGAGGGCGCGCGACATCGGAGGAGGTGGAGGCTGGCGCAGGGGCAGGGGTGCCGTCTGCGGCCAGCGACGCGGGTGCTGCTGCCGAGCTGTCTGCGGTCGGCGGCGTGGCTGCATTTTGTGCGGGCGGCGAACCGTCCCCAGCCGCGCGCGCAGGAGAGCTGCGGCGTCGAAGGCTACTGATGCGCCAGGCCTGCGGCTCAAAAGAAGACAGTATGGTTGCTCGCTGGCGCAGTGAGGCACCGTCTTGTCACTCGAGTCGGCGCGCGACGAAAGCAGCGCATTGTTCCAGGTGGGATGCAGCTGCAAACGAGCGCACCTGGTGAACATAAGAGACCGGTGCATCATAATAGCGCCTCATCGAGCCGCGCTTGAGCGCCCGCATTGTGTTCAAGGGTGCTGTCCGGTCGCAAGATGACTAATTAGGGGGGTCAAAAACTGTGACAATAATAGCAGTGATGCTGTGAAAAAAATGTCGTTCATGTGATCAGCTTACGATACCCGAGGGTGAATGTTTGATCTGCAAGCTCCACTACAGTACTGACAATCCATATGCTCATCAACAGGCGGTTGGGGGTTGCCCGCAGCCCTCACCAGGTTCAATGTGCGCTGTATATTGCCACGAGCGCAGGCGATACAAGCGCCGTCCATGACACGGCTGCAGCGCCGCAGCTTGACTTGTTGCGGCGTCTCGCTCTTGAATTTGATGTCCAAATCCACAACACAGTTGCTGTTGAGGAGACTCAATTCGGACTGGGACTTGTAAGCCGGCCACTTAATGCAGAACTCGACCCGTTCACATTGGCGTCTGCGAGACTAGATGGGCAGCAGCTGGCGCGACAACAGCAGCAGGCAGCACTAGGCCGGACACCCGGTCCTCGCCCTATCATCCGCGTGACACTCGGCCTGGCCCTGAGCGCCACCCTCGTCGGTTGCAGCCCCGCCGCGTGCGCGGCACCGCCGCTGCGGCCGCTGCTGTCGGACGCGTCCGCCGGCTGCGAGCTGCAGCTGGCAGGCCTGCACGCCGGATGCGCCAAAGCCCGGCGCGGGCGGCGCGGCGGCGGCTCCGGCATTGACGCCGCTGTCGCAAGAGAGGCGCTTCTGGCGGCAGTATTCTAGGGTGCTGCCGCCTCTGGAGCGGCAGACGTCGCTGCTGCTGTTCGGGGAGGGCGAATTGGGGGAGCTGCAGGTGAGTAATTCAAGGGCAGCTGACACATGTTGAGACCGACTGCTATCCCAGGACCAGCCCACATGTTTCTTTGCATATCGCATTAAAAAATACAGGGCAGGCCTCCTGCCGCCACTCGCACACACGTCGCACGATGCCAAGCAGCAGCAGCAGCAGCAGCAGCAGCAGCAGCAGCAGCAGCAGGGCGGACTCGGCCTGCAAGTTGTCATGCAATTTTGCTGGCCACCTGCGTGCTGCAGCCACCACCGTCATCGGCTCGCAGCTTCACCGGCAAGCATGGCAGCGTCTGCCGGTGCCTCCGCTCTCCCTTCAGGACGAGGCCCTGACCAGCACGGCGCGCAGCTGGCGGCGGCACGTGCTGCACGCCTATGAGGGGTTTTTCAAGAGCAGCACAGGCACCACCAGCCTCGGTGGCAGCTGCGGCCGCTGGCGTCCCACCCTCCAGGATTGGCTGTGGGCTGTGGCCTCGAACGAGAGCAGGGCATTCGGCTTGCAGGCAGGTGGGCATGCAGGCGTAGTGTCCTGTCGCCACACGCAAACCGGGGCTGGCGCACTCAACCTGGCAATAGCGGCCCCTACTTGCTCTGATTCAGCACCCGTTCATGTGTCTGGGAGGCAGTGGCACCGCTGGCCACCCTTCAATATCCATACCGCAGGTGGACGGGCAGGAGGTGCAGGCGGCCGTGCCCTTCCTGGACCTGGCCAACCCTCGCCCCCCTGCGGCGCTGGCCCACACGGTCACCAGGGACGGCGGCAGCAGCGGCGACGCCGGCGGCGGCGGGGATGGGGCCGGCAGTGGGGGCTTCTTTGAGCTGCTGAGCGACCAGGTTTATGCTCCACAGGGGAGAAGGTGTTTGTCGACTAAGGGGAGAAGGATAACAGGTCGGTTGCTGCTTGCTGCCTGGGACTCCCTGGAGCCTGGCCGCCTGCGTGCTTTCATCACCAGCTGCAGGCCTGCGGCAGCACCTGGCGAGTGCGGTGCCGAGTCTGCTAGCATGTGATGCTTCATAAACCTATGCAGTGGATCACCGCGCATGGCGCGTGCCGCCCGTCCGCACCCACCCGCAGGAAATTGATGGAACAGTATGGTGGGCGCTCTTCTAGACTGAAGGGCGGTGCCAATTTATCAAGCTATCACGAGCCAATTGAGAAACTCTTACCTTCTCTGCAGCAATCCCAAACCACGCTTCTGTGTGAACTCTGATCAATCACTGGTGGTTCCCACCTGTGGCCCCTCAGGTTTTGTCTGCGAAGGAACCCATATGACCGGCTGGACCTGGATGGCATGCAGCTGCTGCATGAGCCGCGACGCCATCGCGGCGGCAGGGGCATCGGCGGCGTTAGCAGCAAGTGCAGTCGGGGCGCAGCAGGGACGGCCGGGGGCAGCATCAGCTGTGGAGGCGCAGGGGCAACGGGTGCAGGCGGCCGTGGCGTCGTCGACGCGACGGCTGGGATGGCGGAACCTCCGGGAGTTTGAGTCGGTTTCTGGATAACGCCTGTGGCTTTCGTGGCAGAAAGGCGTGCGTGCTGCGGCAGCTGGCCTCATTTGAGACGAGCGTCAATCATGACCTGGCAACGCTAGGTGCGATCGAAGAGCGCGCCGCTGCTGCCACGTCCGCCGCGTCCAGCGGCGAGCTACGGCGCTCAGCAGCAGCCGTGCGGTATCGGCTGGAGCGCAAGCGGCTGATCGAGGCGGGCCTGGAGGTGCTGCGGCGCGTCCACCGCTGACGAAAGTGAGTGAGTGAGTGACGGCTGCATGGTCGCCCACACCGGCAAACGTCTGCACCACTCGAGCTTGTGGCTCGCCTGTTGTTTGGCATGTTAGCGTTCATTTGGTTTTGATGCATACGAAGGTGACGTGTCTCGCTTCTCAGGACGTTCCCTTTACCCCCCCCCCCCCTGGTGTGAAGCGATCGTCCCTCCACGCGTGCTCCTGCTGCACGAGTCGATATCAGTGCTCAACGATCAACCCGCTCTTACTCGTTTCGCATACGAATTCTTCGGGCTCTTAGAGATTGTCCTGGCTCTGTACAGCGGTCTCTTTGAGCCACACATACCACGCGCCGTGCTGAAACTTAAAGTTGATGCGCGGCAGCCCTACGGTGTCTTGAGAAGGCGTATTTACGTTAGTTCTCGCTTGGGGCAGCCGTAGGCATGGCGGTTGCCTCCGACGTCGCTGCAGCGCTGGACCAGGCCACGCAGCGCACTGCTGCGAGTGCCGACGACGCGCAGCTGGAGGCATGGGGGAAGCAGTACCCCATGCCAGATGAGAGGAAGGATGACCCTTCCAACCATGCAAAGATGCTGTACAGGTGGGCAACAGCAGCGTCCTGTTGGTGGGAGAGACCGGCCTATCAGGAGTGATTGCTGCGCGCACTGAGTGCGCAGCATCCTGCCCTTTTGTTGCAGCCGGCCCGCCCACATCTGCTCGCGCTGCTGTGCAGACATCTGATGCGTCGCACCCTTTCCGTAGGCCGCCCCGCAGTGACGCGGCTGGCCTTCTCGTGGCGGCCGCGGTGATTGGCTCGTGGGCGCTGCTCTTTTCACACGCCATGTGGGGCATCAAGCTGGACGGCCCCGGCCGCTCTCCGTGGTGGGACATCGTTGGGACATTCTTTGGCCTTGAATTTGCCAGCGCAGGACTGTTCATCACCACCCACGGTGAGAGTGGTTAAGCGGGCTACATGCGTGGCAGCGGTGACGGTCGCGGCAAAAACGGGGTGACGATGCGCACAGGCTGGGGTTATGGGCAGAGCGGCGGCTGGCTGCGTGGGTGACACTCTTGTTCATGTTCTTGTGGATCTGAATTGTGAAAGGCATGCTACAGCAGCAGGCCGTGGAGTGGTTTGGCAGCATTCTACGAGGCATTGGATCGCAGGTCACCCTCGCCGAGCCGCGAGGCGACCGCAGCATCGTTGCCTCCACCTCATCCCTGTACGCATTGCAGACGCCATGCACGGCACTGTGTGCTTCAGGTCGCGCCGCCTCAACGATGCAGTGGGGTGGCTGGCCATTTCGCTCTACGCCTGGTTTGACGTGAGCAGGGGCCACACGCTCGCCAGGGCTTGGGGACGGGGGCAGGTTGCAGCTAGGGGTGAGGCAAGGTCTAAACAGAAGCAGTGGGAGGTCTGCAGGGTATGAGCTGGTGCACCTGTGCCGCGCCGCCGCCGCTGCTGCACCCTGCTGTGGTATAGACTCACTCCCGGCCAGCTGCTTTTATGGCGTTTGATGGCGGCCTTGCTGCCACTCGCAAAGTGAAGGGTCATCTAAAGCTTTAGAATGCCAAGCCCTCATCCAGGGCGCTACCACACTCAACACACGCGCATGCGTGCACACACTCGCGTGCGCACACACACGCACGGACGCGCGCGTGCGCGCGCGCGCACACACACACACACACACACACACACACACACACATACACACACACACTCACATATGCATAACCGCGCGCATACTTGACCCCACCAGTATGGGATGCTCCACAAGAAGCACTGGGAGCACCACGGCTACACCGGCACCCACGACGACCCCGACTTCCACAGCGGCAACTCCGCGCTGCTGCCCTGGTTCTGCAGGTGCGCGGGTGCACGCGCTCGCATGTTCTGAGCCCACTTGCAGAGCCGCTGCAGGATGGGGTGGCCGGCAGCTGCTTGGCACTTTCTGATTTCGACGCAACATGCCTCTGCAGAAGCTTGTGAGAGGGCTGCCTTGCACAATGGACGCCATGATGTTGCTTGCCCTGCATCCATTTCGCCTCTCCCACGACTCACACCACCGCCTCCCATACGACCACCGCCACCATCACCACTACGACCACCAACAGGTTCATGCTGGGCTACAGCACGCCCCTGCAGTTTGCCAAAATCTTTGCTTGGACCATGCTGCTGCAGGTGCAGGAGGGGAAGGGGGGATGGGAGGGGCTCGTGGTGTACGACTATGTTGACATATTGGGCTGGGTTCAGGGGGTTGGGGTGGCGGCCCGGTTGGTGCAGGGCAACCTCGTTCTGCGTAGGGGGTTGCAAAATCAACATAGCGCCCGCTGCAAAATTTAACTAACAGCCCTTCTTGCTTGCGAAATGGGCTGTGATTGGTGATAGTGGCAGTGCTCTCTGTGGGCTCAACAATGGTGCATGAGTATGTGGTGGCTGCCAGGGTATGGTGTGTCTAGGCCCCTGTGAACTGCTGAGGTGCTGCACCCCCAGCAAACCCTTTGGGGGTTGACCAGCGTTTGACCCACTGGTTCCATGCGTGGTTGAGGTGGCCTGGCTGTGAAAGTTGGGTGGATTGGGCGCCTACGAGCTGGCAGCATGCTCGTGGGATGCCGAAACTGGGTTCCAAGGGCATAGTCTTGGGCACTCACTAGCTGCGCGCATGGTCGCTCGGGCCGAATCACTAGGACATCCCATTGACTTGCACCCAGTGAAGCTGGGGCTTCTAACCAAGCCTTGCAATGGCTAAATGCCAAGACAGTCAAGAGTGATTTGCTGCCAACAACAGAACATTTGGGTTGCGTATGTGTGTTTGCCATTCCAACCCATTGCGATGGAGATGACCGACAGTTCGCAGCCTACCGTTATCTCGAAACCGGGAGGTGCATCTGCAAGGGGGGCGGTTCAAGGGCTACCACCCCACTGGCACACATACACATGAATGAACGGTTGCACCTATGGGCTCACACAGTCAATCAGCCTAGATCCTGAGCTGTAGCTGTAGCAAGCATGCGGGCAGTTTATTGTGCAACCCCCTAGCGCAACTCTCTAAGCACAACGTGGTTGACATCACTAACGTCACCAGGGCGCTCATGGGGGATGCTATGTGGGGGACAGGAGCTGTGGATCACAGCAGCCGGGCAGCGGCTTAAATCGGCCGGCCGCGAATGCTTCACTGCATAGAGCCCCCTCCGTGGTACACCTGTGTGGCCTTTCCATTCCACGCATGCATCCCCATGCAGGCGTTCTCTTGCCCCGCTTTGCGAGCGACCGTATCTCTTGCACATTTGCATCTCCTCTGCTTCGCACCGCTCCCCCCTCCCCTTGTCCCCCCAGCCCAAGGGGGTGCGCCACAGGGACCCACGGCCCCTGTCCCCCTGTTCCCTGTCCCCCTCCATTCCCCCGTCCCCCTTCCACCGACCCTGGGCGTGCATCCCTCCACCTCAATCGCCCACCCCTCCCATGTCTCCCTAAAATCCCCGTCGTAACGAGTCATACCTTGTCCCGTCCTGTCCTGTCCGTTCCAATTCCCAGTCCCTGGGCGTGACCTACTGGAACCTGGTCGTTTACCTGGCGGGCGCCCCCATCCTGGCCGCTTTCAGGCTCTTCTACTTTGGGACCTACCTGCCCCACCTGCCGCGCGACGGCAAGGAGGAGATGGGCTGGCAGAAGAGCCACTCGTTCGACGGGCACCCGCTGCTCAGCTTCCTGCAGTGCTACCAGTTTGGGTACCACTGGGAGCACCACAGGTGGGGTGGTGCACTGCACAGGCGGGCAGCCGGCGCGCTGGTATTTCGGGCGGAGGCATCATGTGCGCAGGCATCACTCTTGTGTGTGGGGGGGCCAAAGGGTGTGATGACGAGGACAACGAGCAGCGGCATGTGGTTGGCTCCTGTGCCTCCTTTTGTTGGCTCGCGGGCTTTCCCCCCTTTCTCGTGTTGCGCAACACGACCCACAAATGTGCGGCCTGTCATTTTTTGGTTTATGACGTATTCAGGTGGCCGTACGCCCCCTGGTGGCAGCTGCACGTGTGCAAGGGCATCACTCGGCGCCTGGAAGCCGAGGGCAAGTTCTCACGGCAGCCGCCTGGCAAGCAGCGCCTGCTATGGGAGTAGGCGGTGCGGCGAAGGGTCGGCCCCGCCTTGAACTGACGAGGCTGTGAGACTAAGGCCGGTGCTTAAGTTGGGAGATGCCTGCGCTCCTTGCTTGCTGCATGTGGCTGGCGCAAGGCGGGTACAGGTGGTGCTGCAAGGTGCACAGTGAGGATGGGCAACAGGTCGGCCGTCTTGACCATTGCAGCAGCACCTCGGCGTGACACCAGGTCATAAGAGTGTTCGGCACGACCGCATCCTAGCTGTTGTTTGGGCGCCTTGCACGTTTGTCGATTGAGGGGGTACGGCTGCCATTCAGCTGGCCCCACCTTTGACAGCTGCGTGTCTTTCCTGACGCCGAGTTGGTTGAGGTGGCCAGCAGCGACTCTCGCTGCATCCATTATGCGAGAGAACGCGCATCGGTGGGTTGCCGTTGTGTCCAGCAGCCGTGGATTGAACAGGTCAGGCGGCATGACACGTGGCAGTTGAAGAGACCAGGCGCGCAAGCAGGGGTTTGGGCCTGGTGGATTCCCCTGCTGTTTTTCGTCTTGCCCCGCAAGGTGGGCATGGGAAGAGGCTGTATCAGACACGCTCCTCCCCAACTGTATAAAATTCAAGGAGTTGTGTTTGCTCCAGATACGCAAATGCACACAACTAGCCTGACTTGAAAGTTGCATGCTCCATTATTGCCCACATTGCATACACCCAGCTGTTGCTGTCAGGCCCAGGCCCACCTGACGGCGGCAGCACCCATGCACTCAGTTTTGTTTGTGATTCATGCGTTTCCTACTAGTAGCTGACATGTAACAGCGCCATACTTGCATCAAACTGCATGTGCACAGAGATTTAATATGCCTATAGATGTGAATGCATACGGCTAAAGTAATGCAATTGTACTTCCCGCTTCTGTGGAGGGATTTGTGGAGGTACTAGTGGTAGTGCCACTACCACACCAGTGGCAGCACAACGTTCAGCAATTGACGAAAGATTGGAAAAATGTCCACATCAGCTTTTGCAAATCTTCTGTGGCTTTATAAAAGTAGTCAGTATGCCCACACAAAGTACTGATTGATGACAACAGGTGTGCTTGGAGTGCAACAATTGCAAACCAATTGCCGGCGGCTGTAAGCAGCTAGGCGCATCTCTGCGGCTTGTCGCAGATGCAGCACGTTTTCTAAGCATGCAGAGGGTGGAGGTACCACAAAGGCGCCGGGGGAGCCGTTATGCAAGAGATGAGTTGAAACCCTGAGCAATGTGTAATTGTTGCTTTCTCAACGTCCCACAACGTCCCAGTCCCTGAACCCTGACCCCCACCGCCGTGCTTGCGCGCCTGCTCGTCACCACTGCACAACCTCGCAAATGCTGCTGCACCCCTATCCCGTGGGCGCCTAGGCTAGCACAGGCGTGATGCTACCCCTCAAACCTTGAAAAGCACTTCCTCGTCCGCAATATCCCGCATCTACAGACCCGCCAACAGACGGCCTGTTTCCCCGCGTGCGCCGTGCGACCTGCCCTTGTACCCAATGTACGTAGCCCAATGCATCCGCCACCATACATTACATGTGGCTGTTGATGGCAGAAAGCGGGCACGATTTTATCTTGGTGGGCCCTTGGGGATAGCGCCCTGCACCCCATTCTGCATCTGGGAGCGACCCACTGTGCTGCCAAGTGCCCACGGCAAGTGGTGTGAGGCCGGTGGCCCGGTAGGCTGCCGGGCGTACAGCCCTTCAAATGCATGCGCATGCGCATGAACACCCTGCGCTCCTGAGTCGCGCGGCGGCAGAGTCCTCGCGCGGCGGCAGAGTCCTGTATAAACGTGTGCGATTTGACTGTGTAGAGGGCATCACTTGAAAAGACACTAACACGGCACCACTTTGTTGTGCTACTCGGCATGACAGTATTGAAGCTGGACACCAGGGGCCCTCTCAGCAGGAAGCCCACTAAGCAAGCGTCCTTTCTTTTCTAGGTCCAGGGGGGGCGCAGGCGCGTGCCGGGTTCAGATAGCGCTGCAACACACAGGCTGGTGGCTGCAGGAGCACACAACCACGCACAGCAGGCAGCACACTGCCACAGCACAGCGCTGCAGGGCAGCTGCAGCTGGCTGCACGCAGCAGCACACGGCAATCAATGCGGCGCCTTCACTCCTGTGGTCACCCCTGTGGTCGCCTCAAACGAGTGTGGACGTGCTTGTTGACCCTTGGACACGCACCTATCACACCCTTGAAAATCGCCGCGCCCGCCGTTTCGGAACAAGAAACGCAGCTGGTCTGTTACACATATGATTCCCAGAAGTAAAATTAGAATGTCATCCTGGCTGGCTTACATGGGGCAATTAGACCTTTCAAAAATGCGAGGTGGCAATGTGGTTGTTCTGCTTAGCACAGGGCCGCTTTCAAGCAAGCGACATTGTGAGCGATTGGTGGCATTCATTGCTGCTGGTGCTGCTGCGTGTGCATGCTGAGGGTGTGCGCAATTCTCTAGAACTGACAGGTCAACGCGCTGCTGAAGATTCCACAAAAACAGGGCAGATGGCCAGAATCGAGCAACGCTACATATAACGCAGTGGGCGATAGGCCACGGCGGTGTTCTCGACAGGGCCCCCACGCGTGGGCCCATACGTAAGTGCACACATCTCTGCCGGCGCGCCGCTGCTCAAGCGGATTGGACCTGAAAACATTGCTTCCACACACGAGCCAGGGACACGCAATGAGGGATTGATGCATGGGCCTGCCGCACACTCTGACAACCTGCCGTTGCCACCAGTAGCCAGAGCGAGGGGCGGGCCGGCACTGTAGCCCGCCTGTGCAGTGCGTGCCCATACTATCCGCAGCCCTTGCATAGGGCTGTGCAATCCATTCATGCAAGAAAGTGAGTTCCCAGGTCAGGGGGTGCGCCTAGGCTACGCGCAACACCAACCTCGACAGATCCCAACCTGCTGTGTCGCATCGCAAGGCGGGCCCTCGTGGTCGGGTCACTCTGACTACCCCCTGCCCTGTAGCTGCGACGCCACGGCCTCGTATGTGGCAAAGCACACGGCGTTGGCAGGGAAGCTTCTCAGCAGCGCGGGCCCAAATCCCCTGAACAGCCCCGCAACGCCGTCTGCGGCGATGACCTGGCGGACGCAGTCCGCCATCCCGCGGTACTTGGGGGCAGTGTACGAGTCTACCTGGGGATGGGGGGGGGGCAGGTTGCGACGCAGGGTGGTGGAGATGGGGTACCACATTGTAGGGAGAGAGAGACGTCGTGGCGCCTGTTGCTTAGGCATTTCGCAGATGGCCATCGCACTGAGCCGGCTGCAGGAGGGAGGGCTGATGTGTACGTGCGCGGCAGGCAGGACACCTAGTAGAGCGTTGAGCAGGCATGCGACCCTGCTCAAACATGCACTTGCGATAAAAGTGGGCTGTATTACAACAGCCACAGCAGCACCTCCTTGCTGCTGTTGTGCATGTTGATTTTTCAGAGCTTCTGTCCTATGTGTGCTTAGCTTTAGCCAGCATTTTCCCTAATAAGCTCTCAGGCTGGCTCCTGAACCGCCTGTTGGATCGAGGACATTAATACCGTAGTGACCAGCAGACAAGAGAGTGAGCGGTGTCAATGGCGAACACACACGCCCAACCCCACATGATCCTCATGACACCTGCAGCTTTGACTTGACGATGTCAGTCGGGTAGCAGGCCAGCCAGAACGCAGTGCCTCCCAGCCCGCCAGCCAGCAGGTTGTCGCTGAAGCCGAGGGAGCTGGTGGGGACGCCCTGAGGCAGGGGACAGAGGAAGGAGAGGGAGGTAACACACCAGGTGATTGTTGAGGGATGCAGGTGGAACAGCCTGACGGTGCCCGGCCCATGCAGCCCTGGGCTTTGAAGCCCAACAAAATCAAGCACACAGGCGTGCCTCGCTGCGCAAAGATGCAGAAGCTCAGCATTGCTTGACGCCTTGGCATGCAGGGCGCGCCAGCATGGCAACCCCTGCTCCACGGGAGCCGCACCTTACTGTGTGCGATGGCCTCCTTGGATAGGTGGTAGACCCCAAACATTGCCAGGTTGCCCAAGGACTGCGGGAAGGAAGGGGGGGGGAGGGGGGGCGCTCCGGCTTGGAACTGGTGGCCGGAGGCCTCGATGCCTCCCTGTGGCAGCGGCCGCGGCCCGTACCGGCCCCCACGGACAATCGACCGACTGCCAGCCTGCTGCAGCTGCTTAAAACGTGTGACGAGGTGCGAGCGCCTGCCTGCACCTCCCAAGCCGCTTGGAAGGCTCACGAGGCCCAGCTTGAGGAGGGGCACGCGCTGGAGGGGATAATTGCAGATTGAGCGCACCTCCCGTAGCAGCGTAGCGCCCAGCCCCTTGAACAAGCCCGGCAGGCCCCCCTCGTTGCGCAGCACGTGCCGTGCCACGTCACGCGGCCCGCGGTACAGCGCCGCCTGCAAGGATCATAAGAGGGAAACAGGAGACGGCGTGGGGCTGGGATGGCGCCAGGCGAACAGCGCGGCAAAAGGACGAGGGCGCATGTGCGCTGTCCAGCAGCATATCTCCCAGGGCGCAGCGCAGGCGCTGCCGCCGCAGCTGCCGCCGCCGCTTCCAAGAGCTCGCTTCTCCACACGTGCTGCAGACCGGCGCAAAAGCGGCCAGCACAAGACGCAGCAGACAGCGGCCAAGCGGCGCCCACCGATCCAGGGTCGACGCCCGCCGCCGCCAGCCGCGCCGCCGCCACCTTCTTGTCCCCCTGAGCCTGCAGCCGGCACTTCAGCAGCTCGGTCGGGCAGGCCACCAGCGACACGGCCGCGGAGGCGGCGAGGGCCGACAGCAGCTCGTCTGACAGCGTCAAGGGGCTGCCTGCACGGCCGCATGCGTGCACAAGTGGATTTGTGGACAAGCACGCGTGAGTGAATATGCGTGTGGATGTGTGTGCACGTGTTCACGTCTGTGCAGGTGTGAACATGTTACATGTATGTTTGTGCAAGAGTGAGTGTGTGCGCTCACTCCAAAAGAGTTGTGCAAGGAGATGTCAGCTAAGGTGCTTGCAGCGAATTACAACCTGAGGGGTCAGAGCAGCGGGATGGCGGCGGCCGCTGCAGGGCCGCTCCCAACCTTTTGCAGGCGTCCCCTGCGTGCCCGCCCCGCGCGGCTGCCGAGCGCGCACCATCCTCGTGCGCCAGCAGCGCCTGGGCCTGGCCCCGGGATGAGAACAGGATGGCGTTGAACAGCGCCACCGTAGCAAAGGGCGCGGCCATGCCTGCACGCAAACAGGCGTAGGATGAGGATGAGTGTGGAGTGAGCGGCTGGAGGGCAGCCTTACAAAAGATCCTTGCGCCCCCGGCTGCAGCGCAACGAAGGGTGCTGGTTGGGTCCGTCGGCTCCCTCGCTGTCGATGCCGAAGGGCGCGGCGCTCACCCCTGTAGAAGCCTCGCAGGCCCTCTTTGGCGAGCGTCTGCCGCGCGGCATCGAGGGGGCCTCGGAACTGCGCCGCCGCGGGCGCCGCAGATTGGCTCTGCATTTTGACCTGTGAGGAGCGCAGGCAAAATTGAGAGCAAGTCAGGACACCCAATACTTGCCTTTTGACAAGGGCGCTCCCTACGCGAAAAACCACACTGGATGCAATCCGGCCCAGGCTGTATCAGGTGCGTACTCCTGGGTTTTTCTGGCTGTTTGCCATTGCCGTACCGGTGGCACAGCCTGCGTGCGCATGAGCCATGTGCGCACCCACATGTCCATGTGAGTGCCAGCACAGCGTGGTGTGCTGGCGCCGACTGCGGCGCCTTGCTGTTCACCTTGATTGTATCAAATGGATGCCCCACTAGTAGCTGCGCCGTGCCTGCCGCTGTGCCTGCTGCCAGATCGAGGGCCATTGTCACTCCCTTGCTATTGGGCGCGTGCGCCTGCTGCACATCTTGCGACATTGGCGCGGGGACGGCCTGCACAGAGTTGACTACCGCCAGTGCGTCTAGACTGCTAGCTGCCGGTGCGTTGTGCATTTTGGCCTGCCAGGCCTCGCACAATGCGTCCTCGGCCACGAGGCCTTGGAACTTTTTCGAAAAGAAAGAGCATACAGCGGCCTAGGCACAAAAAAAATTGTTTTACGGCTTTTTATGTATGTGTTTTCTCCACCATCAACCTGAAGATTGAGATCTGCATTCGGAAAGCGTCTGGGCCCCTTACGGCACTGCGGCATGGCAGTCTGATCGCAGGGTTGAAATGTGTGTGTGTTCATGTGTGTGTGTGTGTATGTGTGTGTATGTATGTGTGTGTGTGTGTGTGTCTGTGCGTGTGTGTGTGTGTGTGTGTCTGTGCGTGTGCGTGCGTGCGTGCGTGCGTGCGTGCCGCATGCGTGTGTGTGTGTGGAGGGCTACTCTGTTATGGGGGCTGCACTCGGCCCTCATTTTGCCCGACTTTCTGCGGCAACCCACCTTTCCTCCCAAGGCAGCCCCCTTCTTCCCACGCCCGTCCTCCGTTCATGTGTGACCTTGCACTTGGCAAGGGCATGCTGAGGGTGCGTGCCGAGATCGAGCAACACAATTGCAGCGCTAATCAATGGTTTATGCAGGACATCACGCACCGATGCGTCGCAGCGGCGGCGCCCTCAACTCCCACAGCCCATACAATCATGCTGGCAAAGGCCGTGATTGGCCTTCGCCAGCATGGTTGCTACACGCAGGTTGGCAGGCTCATCTCAAGGATGCGCTCGGCCGCGTGCCGCACATGCGCACAATGATGCTGAGCTGTTTGCCTTGGAAGGGCCGGCCGTCAGTCAGCTTGGGCCGTGTCACACTCCTCTCACACGACGTAGGGACGCTGCGCCTCTTCAAACGTTTGAAGGCATTCGCCAGCTTTCTTGGCCTCTTCGGCGCACTTGGAGCCCCGCTACATCGCGCCCGCTTCTCACCAAGCTCAGCAGCATCGTCAGCAGCAGCAAAACCAGCTGCCCATGGAATGCTGCGTTACAGTTAGCAAGCACAGCAGCCGAGGCTCCTGGTTAGCAGGAGCACCGCCGTGGGAGACCACACCCTCATCCCTGCAGCTGCAGCGCCACCTCCGCCCGGACGTGCTGCTCAAACCCAGCCCGGCCGCCGAGCTGCGCCGGCGGCCGCCCCATGCTGCTGCCGTCGCCGTGGTTGCCGCCGCCGGCGTCGCCGCCGGCGCCCGCATCCTGCCCCTCCTCTTCCGGGTCTGGGTCGTCTATCAGGAGCGACTCGAACAGCGCCGCGCCCTCGCTGCCCTCAGCCACCACCTCCACGTGAGGCGTCACGCGGCGTGCCTGGGGGCCACGGGTGCAAATGGATTGCCTTTGGCCCAAGATACTCGACTTGCTGGACCGCGCATGGTTTGATCATGGTTTGACGCGCAGCAGTTGAGGCCTTGCTCGCAGCAGCCCCGCTCATGCAAACGCAGTGCTGCAGCGACCAGCATAAGGGCTTTTCCGTGGCACCCCACCTGCCGCGTCTTGGCGATCGTCTGCCACAGCAGGCTTGTGGTGGGTGGCGCCCACTGCTGCTGCTGCTGCTGCTGCTGCCCGATGCTGGTGATCCCCTGCTTGTACAGCACCAATATCAGAATGTACGCGTCCAGGACCCACACGGTCGCCTCTCCAGCCCCCGCCGCCGCAGTACCACCGCCATCACCCTCCGGCGGCTGCCGATGACGTCCCGATGACGTCAGCGACGCTTTTGAAAGGTCCAGGCCGGTCGCGATCAGCGAGTCGGCACCCGCCCAGGCGGAGAGCTCGGGGTACACGGCCCGCGAGAGCTCGCGCGCGGGCAGGCCGCCCCAGAGGTGGTGCAGGTACGCCGTGAGGTCGGGGTGGGCCTGGGCGGCCGGGGAGAGGAGGGGGCTGCGGAGGAGCGCGTAGACGGCGCGGGGCAGGGGGCGGAGGGCGGGGTGCTGCGGGAAGGACAGGTCGATCTGGGGGGGAGGGGGGGGGGGGGCAGGGCCGCGTGGAGGTGGGGAGGGTGATGATTGGAAGGGAGGCAGCACGGTCTGGTGGCGACAGCAGGTGGAATTGGCTTGAAAGTATCAAGCGCAGGCGAATAGGCTGGACACGGGCAGACTCCCTTGGATTGCGCCGCAGCTGCCCTGGCGCGCCTTTCCCCCCAACCTCTGCCCCTTGAGCCCCACCGGCATCTGCAGCAACTCCTGCGCCGACGCCCTGGGGTGCAGGTTCCTGCACAGGGGGTAAGGAGAGCAGCGGCCCTCAGCAGGCATGGCAGCTCCACAGGAGCGCACACGGGTGCCGCCATCCCGTCGGCATCCGCAAGGATCACCCATCCGCTCTGTCTACATCCAGCCCCTGCGCTGCTGAAGTCAGCAGCACAAGCGGGGCCGGCCCTGCACCCCGCAGCCCCCGTCCTCTGCGACCGTCACCTCTGCTCTGCATCTTCGATTGCCTAGTCAACTCAGAATAGGACATCAAGCAGGAGACTCCCTGTCATTGCCCGCATATCACAACCCACCCAAGGGTCGAAGAATGCTATCAGGCCGCAGGTCCAGCGCCACCGCGCACCTGTGGCGGTTGGCGGCGAATATGACGAGCCAGTCGCGCAGCACCGGCCGCGCCTGCACCACCCCCTGCTGCGTAACCGCGCGACCGATCTTGTGGGTGAGCGCCGCCAGGGTGGCGGCGGCGTCGACGGCCGCGTAGATATCAGTTGGCGCGTGAGCCTGCGACAGCCTTTGATATTTGAGTGGCGGGCGGCGGTTCCGACCTCATGCATTAGCAGACAAGACAGGCAAGGTGACATGAACATCCCAGGTGCAGCAGCACAGGGCCAAGCCAAGCGGCTGGAGGCGATCAGAAGCGAGCGGAGACACATAGAAGCTGTGAGGGCCTGCGCGAGTGCATGCATGACTCTTTCAACAGGGTGCCCCTCCCTGGGGTGGCCGTGCACATTCGAGTGACGCGCGCTGGCAGATTTCGAGCCGCGCCGCACAAACATCACGCGCCTCCGCCACGCGCCCGCGCCGAACCGTAACCCACCCCCCTTTTGCCCGCGGCGACCCTCACCTGAAAGTGGCGACCCTCAGCCGCCGCTGCACCTCAAAAGGCCGCGCCCCGCCGCCGCCGCCCGCCATCGACGCAAGGCTCGCGCTGCTGCCGCCCGCGCCGCCACCGCCGCCCTGGTCCGCGGCCACGGGCAGCGCCTGTGTGCTGCCCGGACGGCTGCCCGCGAGGCCGCTGCCCAGCGGCACCCCCACTACTCGCGTGTACTGATAGGCAGCCTGGACGTACACGGGGCGGTTCAGGGCCTCCCTAGACTGGTCGACAACGCCGGCTTCGACGTTTTCGAGGTCGACGAGGATAGCCGTCCCCGCGTCGGCCGAGGGCACGTGAAACAGCCCCGCGTCGCCGCCGCCGTCGGCGAAGGCGCGGCCGTAGCAGCGGGCGGCGCGGAGCGAGGGGGATGTGCGGACGCGCAGGAGGCCGCCGTAGCCGCGGCCGGCGGCGAGACGCCTGTGTGGGTGGAGGGGCGGTTTGGGAACGCATGAGGGGTTGACACTTGGGAGACTGCTTGCGTGCGGGCAGGACGACAGGGAGTTTGTGGGGTAAAGAAAGCCCCACCGCAACAGAGGCGAGAGTTGAGATTCCAATGGTGGCGACAGTCATTTGAAAAGTACAAAGCCTGGGAGGAGACGGCTGGGCAGCAGCTGCTTGAAGGAGGGGGGGCGCGTCGGCGGTGAGGCTGGGGGGCTGTGTGCAGGGGCGTGCCGCACCTGACGAGGTCCTGCGGCAGCGAGGCAGACTCTGCTGACGGGTAAAGGAACATGCAGCCGCCGGTTGCGCTGCACAGTGGCTCCATTTGCTGCAGGGGGGCAGTGGGTGGTGATTGTCTGGAGATGCCGATTGTTCAGGGCTGGAGGAGGGTTTTCGTTGGCAAAAAGGGAAAAGTTCCGTGGGGCAATTGAGGCGAAGGCACGCCGCACTCGCAGGGCATTCACAAACGAGTGCCGGGCAGCTTGCTGCCAAATTGGGCAACACGCTCCATGGCAGAAGCAGAACCCACCCAGCGCCTCCCACTAGCGGCCTGTGCGGGCGCTCAGAATGCAAGAGAGCGCCAAGCCCGCGCGGCCCACCTGCAGCCCCACCGTCACGCCCGCCACCGCAAACACGTCGACGCACGCCCCCACGCTCGCCGCTGCCACCGCCGCCTGCTCGTAAAACGCGCGGCTCCGTGCGGCCGCGCCGCCGCCCGCCGTGTCGGCCCCGCCTTCGCCCGTCAGGCCTGCCGAATGCGGGGCCGCGGCCGCGGCTACCTCGGACTCTGGCAGCAGCGTGCGGCCGGGCCCGATGTTGGAAGGCCCTGAGATCATCAGCAGCAGGTGGGCCTGCCCAAGGAACGGCGGCGCGTGGGGCGCGTGGCCAGACGCGCCTGTAGGCGGCGCGTTGGCAGCGTCCTGCGGGGCACGACGGTTGCGAGTCATAAAGTGTGGGCTTGCCTTGCTAGGGCGGAGCATGCGGGACAGGAACACACGACTCAACACCGATCAAGGCGACCCTCTGGCGACCTCTGACAGCAATTCTGGCCCTGCCTCGGAGTCCAACAGCGCCCCACTGGCAGCACCCTGGCCCCGACACAGAAAGGTTTTCACATATGCCTCCTCACTCATCGACTCTCGCCCCATGGTCAATAAAAAAACCCCACCTTCCCACCTCCGTCCAGCAACCTCACTCCTCCCACCACCAAGACAACCCCTTCCACCAAAACCCACCAGGTACTCAATGATCGCCTGCAACGCGGGCCCCAGTGCCCTGCGCTGCCCCCCCTCGTCCGCGCCTCCGCCGGGCCCCACACGGTCGGGGCTGTGGCTGCGGTTACGCTCCGTGCTGGGCGGCTGCAGCGTCGGCGGCTGCATGGGGGCCTCTGTTGCGATGAGGTCGAGCGCCTGGTGCAACGGCGCCAGGGGTCGGCAGGATGTCATCGCATCATCAGGCTCACCACCACCGCTGGCAACCCCGCCAAGGCCAAATGCGTGACATCACCGCCCAACTCGCTCACAGTCCTCCACCGAACAACCGGCACGACCAATCCCCACCGCTACCGCCGCCAGCATCTCATTCGCTACTGTTGCGCAACGCCAAGCATGCAGAACCGCGCCACCACGACCGAAATCTGCTTGCTTTGAAACCAGCACCAACAACAAGACAAAGGTGGCCGCTTAGGCAAGCAGCACTGAATTGCGCAAGGTTGACGCCGGCGCCTCCCGGACCGCTGTCCCTTTCAACTCCTGTTTCGAGGGACCAACAGAATCCCGCGCCCAGCCGCCCGGCCTCACCTGAGCTAGCCGCTCTCTGAACGCCCCTACCGGCGCCAGCAGCGCCGCCAGCGGCAGCACGTCTTCCAGCGGCACCAACAGCGGCTGGCCCTCAAGGACCGGCAGGCAGCGCACCAGCGGCGCGCCGCCTGGGTTGGGTGGGGAGGATGACCCAGTGCGTGCGGCCGTCGACGCGCGTGCTAGCCCAATGGTCGCGCGCGTTGCGAGTCACCTCTTTCCTTTCAGCCGCCCGACCCTCCACAATGAGCTGATATCAGCAGCACGCCCGCACCTCTGACATCCCAGAGGCCGATGCGGTCTGAGAACGTGACCAGTCCGAACAGCGCAGTGCGGGGCAGAGCGTCCAGCACGCTCAGTAGGGACGTGCGCACCTGGCGGGGCGGGAATGGGAGGGCGCGGGTGGGACGAAGGCGGCAGGGCTGGAGCGGGGGCGCGAGCAAAGCTGCAGCAGTCATGGGGCCATGCGCCTCAGCGTCAAGGGCACACGATGAAGTTATGCTGGCCGCTTAGAGGCTGGGCGAGATTCTGACGCCACGGCTTGCCCAGCGCCGGCTGCTTGCAAACACGGGTTGCTTTCATCACATGTGACCATCGCAGACTCACCAGGTCAAGAAAGTCCTCGTCCCCGGCTGCGTCCACGACTGCAATATACGCAGGCGCCCGCCCCAGCCCGCTGCCGCCCCCTACCCCTCGCAGCGGCCCCCCGCCGCCGCCGCTCGCCGCCGCCGCTGCCCACGCGTCGCGTGCGTCGCCGCTGGCGGCGGCCGCGGCCGCGGCGCGGTCATCGGCGTCGCCAACGTCAACTTCGTACACACTGCAGGCGAGCTCAGGCAGCAGATCCCGGGCCATCAGCTGCTTGAGGTACCTCGCCGCGACAGGCCCGCCCCCCAGGCCCGTCGCCTTGCCGCACAGGCTGCATGTGAACCCCCCGCTTGCCAGCTCGCAGAAGCGGTTGATATACGCATAGCAGTGGCGGCAGCGCGCGAGGAGCGGCAGCGGGGACGGGCCAGCGGCGGCGCAGAGGGGCAGGCCATCGGCTGGGGTCGCGAGCGGTTCGATCAGGCAGCCGAAGGGCAGACCGCAGGCGTCCTTGAGCAGGCCTGTGCGTAGCGCCGTAGGCGCAAAGGGTTGGGCGTGGCGTCGGCGCAGTGCAGCCCTTGTGCAGTTGAATCGGTCGCACATGATGCCGCGCTGTCATATGCAGGTCATGCGAGAGCGCCATCCGATTTTCTATATTCTGCCTGATGCATCATTTTCGCTCGCCTGAGGAGGGACACACCCCTCCTAGAGTGAACTGGATCCTCATTGCCCGCAATCTAGGGCCCCTTGCGGCCAAAATGTATATGGTAGAAATATCCCATTTGGGGTGACACAGCAAACATAACCTTATGACACACTAGATCATCCGTGCCGAGATCCTGCAAGTCTGGCAAGCAATGAAGGGATCAAATTATGCGAAGATACAACTCAGCATCCGCATCCCTTACACAAAAGAGCAACAACACCAGCCTAGGCAGCTGCACACCCAACCGCTTTGCAACTGAAATGGCGACGAGCCCGCCCCGTCTCATCCCTTGCTACGCCGTCAAAATCATCGTCAATTCAGGCAGCACATACAGTTTATTATGTCATATCTTACAAGCTGCAGTTGACGACAGTATCAGAATCGTTGTGGCGCAGTGGCTCCTGGGACGCATCCCGTTGCAACACTCATCACACGGAAGACCAAACAGAGCACCCAGCTGTGTCAACAAAAGGTCAAGTGTTGGCGATGGATGGTGAAGGATGGAGAGCAAGCACCAGCATTGCCAAATCATGAAAACTGGTGTTGACAGGCTCCAACTTCAATGCCCCGCCCCCAGGCAGTGGCCGTCCTCAGCTGGCCAGCCATGCGTGACTTGCTGGCAGAGGCCGCACTGGGTGGGGCGCGAAGTGCAAGGCTCTATGCCTATATGAGGTGCCCCGCGTTCCAGTGTGGCGCCAACTTGTTTCCCGCCATCACCCAGCGTGGCTCAAGCACAGGCGATTTTGAGCCCTGATTGTGACGGAGCGTAGCAGGTCGGCGTTAAAGCGGCCCTGGTTTGACGAATGCCATTTGGTGTGTCTCCTGCATCACTTGTTGGCGCCAGCCAGGTTCATCTGCTTGTCTGCAAAACCGAGAAGAATGCACCATGCAGGGGATGTGCATGCCGTGGCGGACGTGGAGGGCAGCCAAGCATGTAGAAGCAGTGCGCGGCTGCTGCACCGCGGCAGCACGCACGTACGATGTGTATACCCCGCACGTCCATATTGTAATCACGGCTCAACATGCGCCCGCGACGCGGATGGGCGTCCATGCACCCCCCAATTGTGGCGCGCGGTCCCACACGTCCAAGTCTCGGTGTATACCATGGATGCCGGCAGCCTCAGCTTGCAAGCAAACAACTGGCTCCTAAAACCAATTGCTATTGAATCCGCCGGCTGCGTCTCGCTGACCGTAGACGTGTGAGGTCTTTGAATAGGAAGTCCTCCTCTGCGTGGGTCTGGATCACAAGATCTGAGCGCGGGTAAGAGGAGCACACTGCGCGCGCGTGCGTGCGAACGGATTGAGGTACGCACGATGGTCTGCGAGCGCACCTTGCAAGCGGTGGCCGGGGCGCTGACGCGCCCGGGCCTTGAGATCACACCAGACAGCATCCAAGACCTGTGGCAGACAGACGCTGCTCGCCCGCACATAACGCCCATGGCCACTGATGACGAAGCCCCGCCCAAGTCACAGGCAC